CAATCATGAAATTCATCTGGAAAAATGAGAGACCCAGAATAGCTAAAGCAATCCTTAGCAGGAAGAGTGAAGCAGGTAGCATCACTATACCAGACCTTAAACTATACTACAGAGCAACAGTAACAAAAACAGCATGGTATCGGCACTAAAACAGACTGGTAGACCAATAGTACCAAATAGAGGACTCAAAGACTAACCCACAAAACTACAATTATCTTATATTAGACAAAGGTGCCAAGAACATGCATTAGAGAAAAGACAGGCTCTTCAACAAATGGTGCTGGGAAAACTGGAAAGCCATATGCAACAAAATGATATTAAACCCCTATCTCTCACCAAGCACAAAAGTAAACTCAAAATGGATCAAGAACTTAGGAATTAAGTAGGCCCTAATCTCCATCATGTGGGATTAAGCCCCAACTTCCTTAAAGAGTCAAGGTAAATTTTACAGTATTTATCATTGAAAAATTACCAAGCAAGAAAAAAGCAATAAACTATGATCTACAATGAATACAAGAATAAATCAAAGAAAAAACTGACACCATGAAAGAATTAGCAGATATGTACAATAAAACAGCTATACTTGTATTCCATATATTAAAGAAGTCACAGCAAAGAATGAACTTGTTGTAGAAACATGGAATGTAAGAACCAAATCAAACTTCTACAGGTAAAAAATACAATGTCTGAAATGAAAAATATGGTGGATGCTATCAGTGAGATTAGAAACTGTAGGCAAAGTATCTGTCAATTTAAATACATAGCAACAGCTAATATCCAAAAGAAACAGATACAGATGGAAGAAAAGAAAAACTCAGCTGCGTAGCAGTGATGTGACATCTTCAAGCAGTCTCACATATGCATAACTTAAGTATGGGAAGGTGAGATGGGAGGTAGTTATTTCAAAGAAAAAATAATGTCTGGAAACTTTTCAAACTCAATGTAAACTTACCATAAACCCCCCGATCTAAAAAACTCAAAAAACTCTAGCACAAGAAACAGTAAGAAAACAATTCAAAGATACACCATAATCTGATCCCTCAAATAACAAAAAGAAAATTTTCAAAAGAACTCAAAGACAAAAAAATATATATTAAGTACAGAAAATCACAGGAAAGCACAGCCAACTGATTTACTATAAGGAGAAGCGGATCCATTCAAAATTACAATCATGTACTACCACAAAAATAGTGTCCTAAATTAGAGTAAGTTATATTCTATGTATATATGCTAAAATATACTCCACTGCCATGTATTTAAAAAAGAACAGATAAAAAATAAAAATATATAAATAATAAAATTACAAAGAATTCAGTACCCCTCTCTTAATGACTGATAGAGCAAACAGACAGAAAACCAGTATGGATAAAGAAGACCTGAACAACACTACTGATCAACCTGATATAATATAACATACACCATATGGGATATGACACTAAACAATTACTTATGAGAAAATAAAATAATAATAAAAAGTATTAAATAAAAATCAACAGTCGAAGGATTATTATATTTAATTACTACACAAAACTTTCAAACCTGTTAAATAAATAAGTAAAATATTTTCATCAAAATACAAATGGCAAATCACTATAAAATATATGTAAAATTTTATTTCTAACACATAAGTTCCTTCAAATCACCAAAGAAAAAAAAAAGCGGGGGGGGGGGGGGGCACATGATCAACAGAAAAATGGTGTAAGGGTAAAAACCGACAATTCATGTAAGAAAAAAATACAAATAACCAACAGGCATGGATGTTTAACCTCACTAAAAAACAATAAAACAATGAAATTTGTTTCACCAGGGGGATTATCAAAAACAAGAAAATATTTATTTATTTATTTATATGTGGTGCTGAGGATCGAACCCAGTGCCCCACACATGCCAGGCAAGCGCTCTACCACTGAGCTACAGCACCAGACAGGCAAGCGCTCTATCACTGAACTACAGCCCCAGACCAAGAAAAGATTTTTAATAACTAGTATTGATAAAAATGTAAAATTTGTAGCAAATGGTTTGGAGACAAACAGTAAGAAATGTCCATTAATATTTTTAATCCTTGCATCCTTTAATTTTATTCCTAGAACTTATTCTACAAAGAAAGATACTTGGAAAGCATGCAGATGTGACATTACTTACAAAGAAATGTCTTGACAGATGCAATCAAATTAAAATGAGGTCATTAGGGTTGACACTAATCCAATATGACTGGTGATCTCATAAGTAAGAAGACACAGAGACAAAAAGAGAAAAATATGTAATAGAATAGGCAGAGGCCAGAGTGATAAACCTACAAGCCAAGAAACCTCAAGGATTGCCAGCAACTACCAGAAGTTAAGATAAATATCAGAAAGATTCTCAGTTCCTCCTGAACAAACCAACCCTGCCAAAACCTTGATTTTTGGATTTCTAGTCTCCAGAATCATGAGACACTTAAGTTTCTGTTGTTTCAACCAGCTATTTTGTAGTACTTTTTACAGGACTTTGTAGTATTTTGTTACAGAAGCCCCAGGAAATTATTTCCCAACAGTAGAGATTAATAAACTATGTACATTCACATAGTGTAATATAGCACACAATGTAATAATAAATAGGATGCAATAGATATATATGGGCATGGAAATTTACAAAGTGAAAAAGTTAAGTTGTAGAACAAAATGTATAATCCCATTTTTTTCTGGTGAATTAAAGAGAACATCCCTCTATCTCTTGAACTGTAATTGAAATTATCATTTTCCAGCACTGACCAAATCAAATATGGGCTAGACTTACTCCCTTCTGCAATCCTGACCTTGAAACCTTCAAAAATATAATTCCATTCCCATGGCCTAAATAATCAACACTCTGTAAAGAATTCAAAATCCCTACACCTATAATTCTTAGGATGTAGCCATTTCCACTAAGAGGTTCTGTTGTCATCTGGAATTCACACAGCCCACTGAATATTGCCAATTTTTCTTTACAAAACATCCAATACCAACTAGATTCCAACTACTGTGAACTTGGAAAATTGGTAATGTGAATACACTGGTTATTCAGATACCATATCTGGACTAAGTGGTAAGAAACACTGTGAGCAACTGGTGGTTTCTGCCAGGGACACACAAACCACAATATAATCCTTTATTTGCCCCAGATGCTGCTATAATTCAGGTTCCTTACCCACATCAGTTATGTTAATATAACAAATAAGAAAAGTAGCTAGTACATTTTAAAACATTCGACTGTTTATATTATGAATAACACTTTCGATTTTTCCCATCTCTAAAAACTTGTTTTTCTTGAATCAAAAAACTTAGTGGTGGAACTCATGCAGAGGTATATGCCTGTAATCCCAATGACTTGGGAGGATGAGGGAGGAGGATTGTAATTTCGAGGCCAGCCTCAGCAAATCAGCAAGGATCTTAGCAACTTAGTGAGACCCTGTCTCAAAACAAAAAACAAACAGGACTGGGGATATAGCTCAGTTGTAAAGTGCCCATGGGTTAAATACCCAGTACCCACCTCCTAAAAAAAAAAACAAACCTCAAACCAAGAAACTTAGCAGTTTCTTACAACCTAGGGAATAAAGCTCAATCCTTTTAGTCTTCTAAAATCTGGCCTCAAGTTACCCTGCAGATTTATAGTCCACTATTACTTTCTTCAATCTTAGAACTAACTCAGTTTATTTGGTATCTCCAAACACTTCATGTACATTTTCTATTTCAAATATTTGCTTACACATTTCCCTATACCTGAACTGAGTTGTTTCCTGCTCCTGATATAAATTCTACGACACTATTTAAGGTCCTCATATTCAAATCCCACAATGATCTGTCAAAATCACAATGCTCTATCTACCTCTCCTCTCAATATTCTAATCTCTAATAATCACTAGTTTGTAATAAGCATCTTTTTGTGATGATAATCTTTGTCTTTTCTAGCTATACAGTAATCAAGGGAGAGATAAAGCCTGAATTATTCTTTTTAATTATTGGTACTCTATGATATTGGGAAGGTGTTGCTTATCAGTTAAGTACTCAACACTTTCTGGTATTTCACTAATAAAAATAAATCATTTGGGTTTCTGACTAGCTTTATGAATTATATTCAAATCAAACTGCTCCTTTACTAATATGGAAATTTCAAAGATATTTAGGTATCATCATACTTTTTATGGTATCAAAAGCAATTCACTGTACTCAGGAGTATTTAAAGTTTTTATTTTGAAACCACAGTTATTTAAATAAGTAACTTCATACCCATTAGTCTTAGCTTCTGCAAATCTAAGACAAAAGTTTAACTTTATAAGAAACCTGGGAAACATTAATTGTTCTAAAGTTAATGTATATTTGGTTTGTGATACTTTTAATTTCTTCATATCAGGAATTTAAGATGCTATTAAATTCTATTTCCCTTTTGCTTCAATCAGGCAGGTCTTTAATGAGTACTGCTTTATAGTTTTATAGTGACAGATGTCCATAGTAAATTTTCAGATCAAGTTAAAAAAAAAAAAAAAGCCCCATGGCAAAGGAACCCAAGAGGCAAGGATAAAAATTAAACCAATACTTGAAATAATTAAAATATAAATTTACCAAATAATCTTTCATTGGATCCTATTTTCTAAAGGGAGCTCGTCGAGATTCACCTCTTCAACATTTCTCTACAATTCAATGTTTCATCTTTTAAAACAGATCTCAACTTAACTACAACTCAATTCAACAGACAACTACAGAGTGAAATTGGTGTTTTCTAATTAATTTCAGTCTTTCATATTGCTACCATGATGGTGTAAACCTCTACTACTCCTGACAATGACAGATGAAATAAATAAAAATGGGATATATTTCTGATACACTGTATTTATGAATAATTAAATGTCAAACATCTTCTAATTACTACATAATACTAAACATAACTAGATATTTCATAATCAAAAAAGAATTACATTTTATAGCTTAACCACGTGTATTTATTACTGTGAACAAGAATGTATGAACTTTTTTGCCTCCAGAATCTTATGTCCTGCCGTTTAAACCTGAAGACAGGAAACTGCTGGCACTGAAGATGTGAAGGGGCCAGAGTCCTTTCCTTCTGTTTTCCTCCAGGATAGGGAGCAGCACTGCATGCTGGTTCCCACTAAGAAGAGGGTCAGATTCTTTATAGTAAAAACGAACTGTATTGATAATGATGAGTTCTTACCTATGGGATCAAAGCTATAATTCCTAGACAGAATTTATAACAAAGCACTGCTCTATCTACTCTTTCAAAATTTATATTTTTCTAGTGTAAATGAGAACAAGCTATTATCACTCTTCCATTAAAATCATTTTTTAAAGAATTATGAAATGTGGACATAAGTGAACCAAGCATGTGTTTCATTTGAAAATCTTAGCAGTTTTTATACAGACTTTTAAAAATTATGCTTTAGAAGACTAAAAAATCGGGCTGGAATTGTGGTTCAGCAGTAGAGCGCTCACCTAGGACAGGCAGGATCCGGGTTCGATTCTCAGTACCACATAAAAAATAAATAAGTAAAGGCATTGAGTTGTGTCTATCTACAAAAAAAGATTCATATTCTCTCTCTCTAAAAAAAAAAAAAAAAAAAAAAAAAGACTAAAAAACTAATACGCAAAATAGAAGTTGCTCAGCAGCCCTGTAAGTAAAACCAGCTCTTTGGTATTTCAGTCAATATTTAAGAAGTTCAGATTTTAAGCACTATGGGGAATCTGTAAAGTCCTAGACAAATGTGCTTTCTATTTCTAAGAGACTTCATTTTATTTCTAGATTGACAATTTGACATTATTCATAAGATACTATTTTTACATTAAATATAACTTTTAAAAAAGATATATTTTTAAGAAAAATTTCTAATTATGTCCAAAACAGAAAGAGAAATAGATGACCAAAAAAAGACAAAACTGGGGTGTGTGTATGTAATTCAAAGATTTAGAAACTTCCCAAAGATACTTAAGCTATTTGACTCTTAATTTATACTCTATATTAACTAACTTTAAATAAAATTGGTTGACATGAGCTTCCTAAGTCAGAGCAAATGTAATACAGAATTCATATACTCTAAAATCTCTGCCAGTAACAGGGAATTTAAACTGAGCACTAACCAGCATTAATAACAACTTTCTTTCATATGCTTCTCCAAACTCCCAGAGTACTTTAGGCACTCTTAAAATATTTTACATAGTTATTGCATTATTCTTTGAAATCCTTGACTAAGCCCATTTTATAATCTGAGATATCAAGGTTCATAATGGTTAATAAATTTGCCTATATTGTTACAGAGCTTAGAATTTACCAGAAAAGGATTTATAATCTAACCTTGTTAAGACTCATGTAAATCTCTTCCTGTGCTCACAGTCCACCCTGAATTATACACATTATCATGTTCAGTTTTTTCCTGTACTAGACAAGAGAACCTTTTCATTTCTGTATATTACAAACTCCATGAATTTTAACCTTTTTTCTCTTTCCAAATTACTCAAGGTAAAATACATTCCCAATCCTAACTTCCCATCAGTAGTTTCTTAATTCAGGCCAACAAACATTAAAATAAAGATTGCTCTCGAGCACAACTTTCCCTCTATACCTATTTTAAAACTACTATCTAAAAGATATGTGATTTAAACAGAAACAAGTAGTTAGGAGGCCACAGAGGGAGAGTTGAAGGTTTTATTTTTCCCACTCCTCAATTTCTTACTTATTCAGCACTGCATACACTAAAGTCCACATGACAAAAAGGCACATACTCATCATAAAATATAAATACCATACTACACAAAAGTCAACAGAACTAATTCCAAGACCTATGAATCTTGTTTATCATTTTTTTACATTGTTCTCCTAAGAAAACACTACTAGATAACGAATGGCATCAGAATTATTGACTTTATGTAAAAGTTCATAATAAATTATATAAATAAAACCTCAATTTCTACAAAACTTATTTTTAAAAACTATAGCAAAACAATAGATTTACTTAGAAATCACCTCTTCTTGGGGGCGTGGTAGTGCATGCCTGTAATCCCAGCAGCTCAGGAGGCTGAGGCAGTAGAATCAGGAGTTCAAACCCAGCCTCAGCAAAAGCCAGGGTTAAGCAACTCAGTCTCTAAATAAAATACAAAATAGGGTGGGGATGTGGCTCAGGGTGGAGTGCCCCTGAGTTTAATCCAGGGTACCTCCCACCAAAAAAAATAAATAAATAAATCACCTCATCCATGAAACCAATCACCAATACAGAGTCTCACAAAATTAAGGCCCCTTTCCAGCTAATGAGATATAAATGCTGCCGAATATTTCTTCTTCTGGTACTTACAATGCCTGCCTTTATTGCAATCCCCATCCCTTACCCTTTATACTTAGGTAGGACTAAGTTCTACTGGAAATCTTTTCAATTGCCTTTGAATTTCCATCTAAAATGCTTTGATTCAGGCCCCAGACATATTTAATGAGGACTTTTATATACACTCATCTGACCTTTTTCTCCATTCTCACAATCCTCAATCCACCTTTTAAATTGTCTCCTCTTTCCCCCACAAAGCATTCTAAAACTTGAATCTGATCTGCAATTCCCTAACTAGTGAAAGGCTTTCTCAATTTTATCTCCTCCTTATAGCTATGAAGTATACCTTAATATCTTAAGAAGTCAAGAGAAATTCTGTACAAAAATAATCTGTTGTTACTTAATTTAACTTAGCTCACAAAATATAAAGATTGAAAGAAACCCCACAATTTCCAATGTTAATTTTTTCAACACAATATCCAAAGTTTCCAATGTGACATTTTCAGGATTACCCTATCAGAACAGTACACTTTAGTTCTGAAACTGATTCTACATTAAAATCTTCTGTCAAGCTTGCTAAAAACAAATTCCCAAGCTCCATTTCAGACTCAGTGACTTTGAATATCACCTAGGAATTGAAACTAGCATTTTTAATGATCTCCAATAATTCTGATGTGTATCTATATTTGAGAACCCAAACAGAAACTCCTTACTTCACAACAAACTATTAGTAGACATAGTTACTTCCACAATGTTTTATACCTCTGATCAACCTAAGGAGGACCTATTCATCTTAAATATTCAGATAATGCCCATTCTAAAAAACTTACTCATCTCCTCTCACACCATCTCTCCTTTGATCCTCTAAACCTTTACAAAAAGTTTGCATATATTCATACACAGTCCTTCTAACCCATACAATCACGCCATGACATAGAATCCCTATTTCACAGGTAAGAAAACTCAATCTACTAAAGGAAGGTTAAGAAATATGTTTAAACTGATCCAGCATTTGAACCCACATTTATTGACTACAAAGCGAGTGTTTTCCATAGTGACATGCAACCTCTTATAGATCACTCAGAAGTACTGACTCATTCTTCAGTTTATACCTTTGTTTCCCTTTTTAGACATAAAACTATTGCTTCCCTGAACACAGGTATAAATCCTGAGTTTGACCTCAACATATAGTTACTTGGTATGTTCTGTTGAATGAACAAGAAAAAGAAGCTCCTCAAAAGCCGGTACTACTCCATTTAGGTTTCATTTATTGGATTCTTAGAGCAAGCTCTGAATGTACTTCTTGTCAAACACATTTGGCCTGACCTGCAAATCTGCTGCTGGATTTATAATAAGACAATGTATTTTGGCATTGTTTCAAACTATGAAAAACTACATGGAGAGGGAAAAAAGATCATTCCAAAAAATTAAAATATCATTCTTACATTACCCTCTATCAAAATGAGGACTTCAAGTTTTAATCTTCACAACAATTTCATCCCACAAGAGCAGACAGCTATAACAGTGTGGTTTTAAATGACTGAAATTTAAAAAGTAAAATTGATTAAGAATAGATGACTTAATGAAATTAAACTTATGCTAACCAGTAAGCAATGCTTTTTCTCTATTAATATTCTCCCACATCTGTCATTTTTTTGAAACTAGGAATAAATACTATAGGTAAACACAAAGTAATTAGTATACTTGCATATAAATGTAATGTCCTTCCTGCCTTGTTAATATGTCTGGTATGTAAAACATAGCACAACTACTTCCTTTTTGATACAAACTACATAACAAATGTAGTAAATCAGCAAAACCAATATTTTTTTCTTTTTTCCATTGGCAGATAACTAATACTTTTAAGTGCTGGAGATTTTCCTACACTGACAATATGCAAAAATTAGTTCAGCTTTAAGGACCTTACATATTAAAATACATTCATTTTACTATAAAGAAATGGTTATTCCCTTAACACATCTTTTTCATTTGGAAATAAAAAAGAAAAACTATTATGAAACAAAATCATATAATGGGAAGTACAAAGGGACTAGGCATCAGGAGTTCTGCTGGTTCTCTAACTTCTATTATCTTACTAAACTCTTGTGTGACTTGGGAGTCACTGGCTCCATTTCCTCATTTGTTTTAAAAAGTCGTTAGGTGAGGAGGGATCTGATTATCTTTGAAGTTGTTTCCCAAAATTCTGATTTTGAGACACTCCTCTTGTTGCATTTTTTCTAATCAGTTAACTGTGTTCTTCAAAGTCTAAATTCTTAAATAACAAACACATCTGAAATTGAATGTAAGTATTCAGTCTCCAACTGTTTGGTACAAGACACACAGAGTAAACTTCTATGAAGTTAACAATCTGATAACTTTCCAGAAATTGTCCCAATCTCGAATTCTTGAACAAGCAGGTGTCCTCTGACATTTTTAATAATATTAATAAGTTATAAAACGGTACTGGTCTGCTGAAACTTCACTAAGTGTTCCCTAGGTTCGAGTGGCACATACTTTGCAGGTAAGAGCAAGCAAAAAAGGGAGAGAGCCTCGCAGCATTTCAACAACCCAGTCACCTCAGTAAGATCCTGACAAGGCCTACACCACGAAGCTGAACCTCCCCACCCCCAGAAGTGCCAGCAGCCAATGTAATGAATGCTTCCGTCAACAACACACATTCCCCTTCCCACAGAACTGCTCACTCCCAACAGGCCATCTGGGGTTGGAATCAGCCGCACTACACCAACCTAAGAATCATTCTGGGTCCCAAAGGCCGAAAACTACTAGATTGTGGTTTCCCTGCGCATGGCTGCGGGGAGAGCAACACCCCCTCCCAACAATGATTAAAAAAA